ATCTTCACGGCGAGGATATTGAAAGTGCGAAAGTCGGCGGCTGAGAGGGGTGGCAGCTGGGCCTCTGCGGGGGCCTCTGGCGTTGAGGAGGTTTCTGCGCTTGATGGCTCGCACACAGCCGGCTGCTCGTGGAGTGAAGCCATACTGGGTCTGGGGCTTGTGGAAGACAGCTGCGACCAGTTTCGTCTCGATATATGCGTGTTGGCTGGCCGCAAAAGATCGCGGGCTGTGATAGTGCTGAGTCGTGTAGTTTGCGGCGTGGCTCTGAGCTTTGCAATGCTGTGCTTTATGGGGACGGTCGAGAGTTGAGACAGTGCGTTCATTGGCAAAACACGATGGCGACCACGACGACCGAAAGACAGACATGGGGTTTTGTATGTTTCTATAGTTTCTCCTCCGGCCACCTAGACCTGCAAAAGAGTTGAAAGAACGTCCAATCACACATCTGATGTTGTCATTCGAAGGCGCCGATTCCACTCGGTGGTTATGCCGGCCTATTTGTTAGGTCTGAGTAAGCTTCCTGGCCGTGGACGACCTTCTCTGGTCTCATGCCTACTCCACAGGTCCGGCGCCAATTTTCACCCGCGCGGGTCAGGCGCAAGTAGCCCGCGCGCGTCGTTTTGTGGCATCACGTGCATCTTGGTGGCGAGCAGCCAGCTCTCGGGGTGCATATTGATGCTCCAGGCTTTTCCCACGTGGGATCCCACTGAGACTTGACGACACAAGGACCAATATCTCTCCATCGATCATCCAAGTTCTGAGGCATACCATTTCTTTTTCCAGAAACTGATGGACACGAGCATTGTCAAGTAGATCCTGATTCTTGTTTTCATGTATTCAATTTTCTGCTCCATCAAAATTTGCCACATGCGGAATTCTTGATACACATATATCTTGCCAAATCAACAATCACCGTCATCCTTGCGGCTTCAACAACGTAACGGGGGAAAATGCATTCTATAGCCTCTATTCCGCGAAGCTACACGTCATACCTAACGTAGGGGCTGTCCCCTGTCCTCTGACCGACCACCCCTACGCGCCTGATTGTTTTTTTGACCAAGCGACCAAACCCTGATGCCAGAACCGCAGATATTAGCAAGCAAACAGAAAAGCCCACCAACGGCTACGCTTAACCCCGCACAGCGGCGCCCAGCGCACCGCCGGTGAACTGCGTGCCACCCGCCTGGCGTTGCGCGTGGCCACCGCCGCCGCGGCCGCCGCCACCGCCTCCCCTGCCGCCACGGCCGCGACCTCCGCCGCGTCCACGACCGCCCTGCCTCTCGAAGGCGTTGGCCGAGCCCTGCGTGCGCTGCTCCAGTGTTCGCTCGTTCGTCTCGATGAGCGAGCTCGCGCGGTCCGACATGGCGATCGCCAAGCTCTGCAGACGGCTGAGCTCGACGCCCTTGCGGAAGATGACGGTCGACGTGACCTGGTCGAGCGAAGCCGCCAGCTCCTCGTGGCTGATCATCTTGCTGATGACAGCCAGCACCTTGCTCGTCTCCATCTCGAACATGGCGCTGAGAGTCTCCGACGCCAGCGTGTCGTAGAAGGGCGCGTACGTGAAGAGGTACGTGCGCAGACCCTCCTCTTGGATCTGCTTGGCGAGCATCGTCTTGATGTCGTCCGTGTTGGGCATGAGCTCCCAGATCTTGATGCTGTGGATGAAGTGGATCGACTTCTTCCAGTCGCCCGCCGCGAGCGCCTTGGACGCCTGCATGACGTGGTCACGCGTGTTCTCTGGGGGGCCGGTGAAGATCTGACGCTCGTGGTACTCGAGCATGCGCCTGTACGTCTTGCTGATGTTGCGTTTCTTGATATCCGGTGATGAGCCGGTCTGGGCGAGAACGGGGATCTCGAGCAGCATGCTGCAGGTGAGGTACACGCACTCGAGGAGCTCGAGGTTAATGTGCATGTGGAAGGGCAGCTGGCGCTGCTTCTCGAGCCTCTCCTGCTCGGGCGACACCTGGTTGTACCTTTGGATCATGACGCCCTGCGCCAACAGCTCCTTCTGGCGACCGCTGCCGCAAATTTCTTGCAGAGTGTTCTGGGCGTCGTAGACGAGACCCTTGCGGAAGGCGCAGAGACCGACCTGGACCAGCGTACGGTTGTAGAGAATCTGAGAAAGAACGTCGAACTGGGGAATGTTCTCCTGCAGATGGGACATGAGCATCATGTCACGAGCGTTGTAGTACTCGTTGTGCAGGGCGAGGAAGTAGACACGGCACAGCATGGCGCGGGCACGGAGGATACCCTCGGCGTTGCTGAAGAGGTAGTTGCAGAGAACGTTGACGAGGTTGCTGGCATCGGCGTCTTCAGAGCGAGGCGTAATGTCCGACTCGGCCTTGGCAGAGGCAGTCTTCCAGGCGTTCTCCTCAAGAATCTTGATGACTTGGGCAGGCTGAACCAATAGTTAGCAAGAGATCGTCGGTTGAAAGTAATGACAGTGGGCTCACCTTGAAGTAGACGTGCTCGAGCCTCCTCGTGACAACACGGTTGATGCTTTCCTGCGTAATATCGAGCGCGGCATCCTTGCGGAGGTACTCGTAGTACAGCTGGCCGCGGAAGATGATGTTGTACAGGGCGCCCTCATCAGTCAGACGCTCAATGTACTCCGACGTGTGAGGGTCGATGTTCTGGAGCGAGCGGGTGAGCTCATCATCCAGACGCTCGATGAATGAGACGATGCTGCCAGGGACCTTGATGTACTTCTCGCCCTTCTCAAGCGCAGGAGGCTTCTCGTCGTCCTCCCACTCCTCGGCATTCTCGACAACCACGTAATCGGGGTTGGCCTCGAGGACCTCGAACAGGGTGGCAAGCTCTTTTTCGGCGGCCTTCCAGTGCTCAACGGGCATCGAAGTGGCACCGCTGGAGCTGAGGTCGAAACGCGTGGAGACGAGGGCAAGCAGGACGCGGATCTTCTGGTAGGGCGTGTTGGCGATTTCGCTGAGCTTCTCCATAGTCTTGATCTGCTCGGTGCGGTCGGTGTTCTTCTTGCCGCGAGACTCGAGGATGCCACGGAGATGCTTGAAGATGCTCTCAGGGGTGAACTGGAGGGTGCGACCGCCCTTGCCGACCGTGGCAAAGCCATCATCCTCGCCGAGGGGTTCGGCAACATCCTCAGCCTCGGCGATGCGAACAGTCTTCTTGGGCTTGGAAACCTTCTCTTCCTCCTCCTCGGAATCCATGAAGGCATCAATGTCGGCACGGTAGGCCTCGATCTGAGACTGGTAGTCCTTGTTGACCTTCTTGATCTTCTGCTTGACAGCGTTCAGGCCACGGGCAGCGATGGCGTTCATCTTCTTCGGCGTGACCTTCTGCTTGGCAACGGCCTCGTTCATGTAGTCCTCGAGTTCGGCAATGGTCTTGATGTAGGACTTGGGCGTCTTCCTCGACTCTTGGATCTTGGCGACCTGGCGGTTGAGCTTGTCGAATTCTGGTAACGCGGGGTCAGCATCAGCACTCTTGTCTTCTCGCTTCCCCGAAAACATGCGGGTCAATCCTTACCACTCGAAATAGAGGCCCAGTCGCCATTCTTCTCGCCGTTCTCAATCAACTTAATGGTCGCCTCGAGTTCCTCGTGACGCTTGTCCTTTGCGCTCCTGACCTTGAGCCTCTGCTCGTCGTCGCTGTCCTCGCTCTCAGAGCTGGCATCTTTGAGGAAACGGTTCAGGCCGGTCGCCTTTCCTCCATCATCGTCGCTCGAGTCGTCATCCGAGTCATCTTCGTCATTATCATCGTCAGAGTCGTCATCGGAATCGTCGTCGTCGCGGACCTTCTTCTCTTCCTCCTCCTCCTCCTCGGAGTAGAGCTCCTCCTCGTCGGAAGAGCTCTCGGAGGAGCTGTCGTCACCACCACGGCGGAAGAACCTGGACATTTTGGCAGTTGCTTTGCTGTCGCTCAAAAGGGGATGCCCGAACGGTCTCAAGGTGAGGGGGGAGGGAGGGGGGTGATAGTGGGTGAAAATTGATGCAGACTGGTGGAGGGGAAAATCAGTAATTTTCTGTGCGTGCAAGGCAGCGAGTGACTCAGTGATGGTGGTTGGCTCGTTGCGACCCAAAGAACCCCACGTTGCTTAAAGCAGCGACGGCCCTGGCCTTACCCGAACGAGACTAGCGCATTTTGCATCTGCCTGGAGTTCCAGTCAGGAAAAACTCGAGGTGATCGAGACGAGTCGTCTTCATCATCAATCTCGTAACGATCCCTATCGTTGCGACAGTCATCGCAGCCCGAATCGCGTGACTGATCGTTCACCACATTCATTCATTTCAAAGCGATTCTTTCTGTTCCCGAATACCCTGCCGCATCGCCCGGACTCCACGTCGTTTAACGCGTCTCGGGAGTCGCGCCAGCGACAGTCGTCGAGCTCAGACGAACTCCCTCCCGCCCTCGCTCGCATCATCACAATCGCCAATTCATCCAACATGTCCTCACAACCACCACCCCCTCCTCCGGGATGGGGCCCTCCGCCGCCGCCGCCTCCTCCTCCTTCCTCATCGCTGCCTCCTCCTCCATCCGCCCCCGCGCCGCCACCACCTGGATACCGTCCCCCGACCGATCCTCAAATCGCAAAGTTTGCCCAGAAGAAGAAGGAATGGCTTCGGGATCAACGCGCCCGCTTTGGCGAGAAGCGGAAGAGCGGGTTTGTCGAGACACAGAAAGCTGACATGCCACCGGAGCATCTACGCAAGATCGTCAAAGACATCGGTGATGTGTCGCAGAAGAAGTACACCAGCGACAAGCGAAGCTATCTAGGAGCTCTCAAGTTCATGCCGCACGCTGTCCTGAAGCTACTGGAGAACATGCCCATGCCCTGGGAGTCAGCGCGCGAGGTCAAGGTTCTGTATCACGTCAACGGATGCCTGACCCTCGTCAACGAGATCCCTCGCGTCATCGAGCCTGTCTTCTTCGCGCAGTGGGCCATGATGTGGACATTCATGCGAAAGGAGAAGGCCGACCGAAGGCTGTTCAAGCGTATGCGCTTCCCACCATTTGATGACGAAGAGCCCCCGCTGTCGTGGTCTGAGAACCTCGAAGACGTTGAGCCTGCGGAGCCTATCCAGATGGAGCTTAATGAGGACGAAGACGCAGCAGTTTACGAATGGTTCTACGATCACAGGCCGCTCCTTGATACACCACATGTCAATGGCGACAGCTACAAGTCTTGGAACCTCACCCTTCCTCAGATGGCCACGCTCTTCCGGCTGAGTCGACCCCTCATTTCAGACGTTGTCGACAAGAACTACTTCTACCTCTTCGACCGCAAGAGTTTCCTGACCGGAAAGGCGCTCAACGTTGCACTACCAGGCGGACCGCGCTTCGAGCCCCTTTACAAGGACATCGATCCCAATGATGAGGACTTTGGAGAGTTCAACGCCATCGACCGAATCATCTTCCGTAATCCTGTCAGGACAGAGTTCCGCGTGGCGTATCCCTATCTCTACAACTCTCTTCCCCGTAGTGTTCATCTCGCTTGGCATTCGTACCCTCAGATCGTCTTCAAGCGTTCCGACAACCCGGACCTGCCAGCTTTCCACTTCGATCACAGGATCAATCCCATCTCGTCCCGCGCCGTAGCACCGAAAAACCTCACCATCAGCCACGAGGACGAGCTCTTCGGCGTCGGCAACAACGAGGAGGACGAGGATGTGTTTGAGCTGCCAGCCGACGTCGAGCCATTCTTGAATGAAGAGGAACTCTTCAATGACGACACGGCTGCTGCCATTGAGCTGTGGTGGGCGCCGTTCCCCTTCGATCGTCGCTCCGGGCGCATGGTTCGCGCCCAGGATGTGCCTCTTATCAAGCAATGGTACCTCGAACACGCGCCAACGGACAAGCCTCCCGTTAAGGTTCGCGTGTCGTACCAAAAGCTCTTGAAGAACTTCGTTCTCAACGAGGTCCACAAGAAGAAGCCAAAGTCACAGCAGCAACAGAACCTGATGCGGAGTCTCAGGCAGACCAAGTTCTTCCAGCAGACCACCATCGACTGGGTCGAAGCCGGCTTGCAGGTCTGCCGACAAGGTTTCAACATGCTTAATCTCTTGATCCACCGCAAGAACCTTACCTACCTTCATCTCGACTACAACTTCAACCTGAAGCCTGTCAAGACCCTCACAACCAAGGAGCGAAAGAAGTCGCGTTTCGGCAACGCTTTCCACCTGATGCGTGAGATCCTGCGTTTGACCAAGCTGATTGTCGATGCCCAGGTTCAATACCGCCTCGGCAACATCGACCCCTTCCAGCTGGCAGACGGCATCCTCTATGCTTTCAACCATGTGGGTCAGCTAACGGGCATGTACCGTTACAAGTACAAGTTGATGCACCAGATTCGTTCCTGCAAGGATCTGAAGCATCTGATTTACTATCGCTTCAACTCTGCTCCTGTCGGCAAGGGCCCCGGCTGCGGTTTCTGGGCTCCCGCCTGGCGAGTTTGGCTCTTCTTCATGAGGGGTATCATTCCACTCTTGGAGCGATGGCTTGGCAACCTTCTGTCTCGTCAGTTCGAGGGCCGCCACAGCAAGGGTGTCGCCAAAACAGTGACGAAGCAGCGTGTCGAGTCTCACTTTGACCTGGAACTTCGCGCTTCGGTCATGGCGGACTTAATGGACATGATGCCAGAAGGCATCAAGCAGAACAAGGTCAACACTGTGCTCCAGCATCTTTCCGAAGCGTGGAGGTGCTGGAAGAGCAACATTCCTTGGAAGGTGCCTGGCTTGCCAGCGCCCATTGAAAACATCATTCTGCGTTACGTCAAAGCCAAGGCGGATTGGTGGATCTCAGTTGCTCACTACAACCGAGAGCGTATTCGACGTGGTGCGACGGTCGACAAAACTGTGGCCAAAAAGAACGTTGGTCGTTTGACTCGTCTCTGGCTTAAGGCTGAGCAGGAGCGCCAGCACAACCACATGAAGGACGGTCCTTACGTCTCTTCCGAGGAGGCCGTGGCTATCTACACCACCACCGTGCACTGGCTCGAGTCGCGAAAATTTTCTCCCATACCCTTCCCCAGCGTGTCCTACAAGCATGACACCAAGATTCTCATCCTCGCCCTAGAGCGCCTCCGCGAGGCCTACTCTGTCAAGGGCCGGCTGAACCAGAGCCAGCGTGAGGAGCTGGCCCTGATCGAGCAGGCTTATGACAGCCCCGGCACAACCCTCGAACGCATCAAGCGCTTCCTCCTGACACAGCGTGCCTTCAAGGAGGTAGGCATCGACATGAACGACAACTACAGCACAATCAATCCTGTATATGATATCGAGCCCATTGAGAAGATCAGCGATGCCTACCTTGACCAGTATCTCTGGTACCAGGCTGATCAACGCCATCTGTTCCCTGCGTGGATCAAGCCTTCAGACTCGGAAGTGCCTCCCCTTCTGGTGTACAAGTGGGCACAGGGCATCAATAACCTGGACAAGGTTTGGGAAACCGAAAACGGAGAGTGCAACGTCATGATCGAGACAGAGTTGTCTAAGGTGTACGACAAAATGGAACTAACTCTGCTCAACTCACTGTTGAGACTGATCATGGACCACAACCTGGCAGACTACATCACTGCCAAGAACAACGTTCAGCTGACCTATAAGGACATGAACCACGTCAACAGCTACGGTATGATCCGTGGCTTGCAGTTCTCGGCCTTCGTTTTCCAGTACTACGGTCTCGTCCTGGACCTGCTGCTTCTTGGCCCCCAAAGAGCAAGCGAGATTGCGGGCCCCCCTCAAAGCCCCAATGACTTCCTGCAGTTCCGCGACAAGGAGACGGAAACCCGTCACCCAATTCGTCTCTACACCCGTTATGTCGACAAGATCTGGGTGTTCTTGCGTTTCACTGCGGAAGATTCGCGTGACCTGATCCAACGTTTCCTCACTGAACAACCCGACCCCAACTTTGAGAATGTTATCGGCTTTAAGAGCAAGAAGTGCTGGCCAAGAGATTCTCGCATGCGGTTGATGAGGCACGATGTCAACCTAGGAAGGGCTGTCTTCTGGGACCTCAAGAACCGCCTCCCGCGATCCATCACTACCATTGAGTGGGATGACAGCTTCACTAGTGTCTACAGTCGGGATAACCCCAACCTCCTCTTCTCCATGTGCGGCTTCGAAGTTCGCATTCTCCCCAAGATTCGGAATCAGAACGATGAGTTCCCTGTCAAGGACAGCGTGTGGTCGCTTGTCGACAATACCACGAAGGAGCGAACAGCGCACGCCTTCCTCCAGGTGACTGAAGATGATATCCAGAAGTTCAACAACCGCATTCGTCAGATTCTCATGTCTTCTGGTTCCACTACATTCACCAAGATCGCCAACAAGTGGAACACGGCCTTGATCGCTCTTTTTACCTACTACCGCGAAGCTGCAGTCTCAACCATTGAGCTACTAGACACCATTGTTAAGTGTGAGACGAAGATTCAGACTCGTGTCAAGATTGGCCTGAATTCCAAGATGCCGTCTCGATTCCCACCTGCGGTGTTCTACACCCCCAAGGAACTGGGTGGTCTGGGAATGATCTCTGGTTCTCACATCCTCATTCCCGCGAGTGACAAGCGGTGGTCCAAGCAAACGGACACAGGAGTTACGCACTACCGTTCTGGAATGACACATGACGAAGAGACTCTCATTCCCAACATTTTCCGATATATTATTCCTTGGGAAGCCGAGTTCATCGACTCGCAGCGCGTCTGGACCGAATACTCGCAGAAGCGCATGGAAGCCAACCAACAGAACCGTCGCCTGACGCTCGAGGACCTCGAGGACAGCTGGGACCGCGGTCTGCCTCGCATCAACACACTCTTTCAGAAGGATCGCAGCACGCTGAGCTTTGACAAGGGCTTCCGCGCTCGTGCTGAGTTCAAGATTTACCAACTCATGAAGAACAACCCATTCTGGTGGACGAGTCAGCGTCACGACGGCAAGCTCTGGAACCTCAACGCCTACCGTACTGATGTCATCCAAGCACTTGGTGGTGTTGAGACCATTCTTGAACACACGCTTTTCAAAGCCACGGGATTCCCGTCCTGGGAAGGCCTCTTCTGGGAGAAGGCGTGCTTGGCCAAGGGAACAATGCTTCTGCGATACGACAGCACCAAGGTTGCGGTTGAAGACGTCAAAGAGGGCGACATGCTGCTGGGACCTGACGGCGGCCCACGACGTGCGTTTAACATCGTCAGCGGAAACGATCGTCTTTACCGCATCAAAGTTGGCGGCAGCAAGGAGGATCTTGTCGTAACGCCAAACCACATCCTTGTCCTTCATCGAGAAAGCTTGGAGGGCAATGTCCAGGTTTCGGCCACAGAGCGCTATGATACAGTTGAAATGACCGCGACAGAGTTCGCATCTCTTGATCCCACCGAACAAGGCAAACATCGACTTTTTAGATCCCCTGGGTTCGAGCTGCCCGAGCAAGAAGTACCCGTCGATCCATACTTCCTGGGCCTCTGGCTCGGCGAAGGAGACCGATCTAGCGACACGTCCTACTCCAGTCACGAGGCGGAAGTACGGCAATTCCTTGTTCGTCATGCCAGCGATCTCGATCTTCACCTTGTATGGCATAATCAACTTGGCCACACTGCTGTGAGCAGAACCCGACCAGCAGAGCCAACGCTTGCTCAGGTGAACAAAGCGGCACAGCCTGATCAACTTCCTAAGCGCCTCGCCAGGCAGACTATTATGAAGCAACGACTGACTGCGGGGTGGACTGTCCAACCTCATGCTCCCGGCGAGCCTAGAGTTTGGACCGCGCCCCAAGCTGCTCTGCGCGTTGGCAACGACCGAAGGCACGCATTGGACTCTGTCTCCGGCAGCGAATTGGACGACGTCGAGTTAGACCTACTTGAGATTGACGATGAAGACGCTGAGACGGAGCTTTTAGACGAAGCTCAGTCTGACGACGAAGTACCATCTGGACAAACCTCGGACAAACAACTCTCGGGGCGCAAGTGCATCCGCCTTCGCATGGGCCGTGCTTCTTACGGCGACATCCAAGAAGAGGAACAGAACCAGCTACTTGATGATATCGTGGATAGACCCCCTGGCAAGTCTGGTATCAACACACTTCGCCATGCCCTCAATGAGCTTAGGCTACTCTCTCGCGGCGAGACTAGACCCGAAGCTGATCGCCAGCGAATCCCCTCCGAATACATGCAGAACTCGCGTGCGGTTCGCCTGGCTGTTCTTGCAGGCCTTCTCGATACGGATGGCTGGTACGCTTGCTCGGAGAACGTGTTCGGCTTCGCTCAGAGCAAGCGTCAGCACTCTACTCTGTTCTGGGATGCTGTCGCCCTGGCTCGCTCTCTTGGCTTTAGTGTATGGACCAAGGAACGCATGGTGTGGAACTTGGAACGCACAGCTCAGTTCCCTCAGCTCTTTGCTCAGATCTCTGGAAACCTGACTGAGATTCCCTGCTTACTCCTGCGCAAGCAAACCTGCGAACGCTTCATCCCGCAGATCCATAGTTTCGCTGTCAAGTCGATCTCTCTGGAAGCTGAGAATACGGAATGGGCAGGGTTCAGAGTCGATCAAGATCAGCTCTACTTGCGGCACGATTACTTCGTTCTCCACAACAGTGGTTTCGAAGAGTCCATGAAGTTCAAGAAGCTCACGAACGCGCAACGCTCTGGTTTGAACCAGATCCCGAATCGTCGCTTCACTCTTTGGTGGTCACCCACGATCAACCGCGCCAACGTGTATGTGGGTTTCCAGGTCCAACTTGATCTGACTGGTATATTCTTGCACGGCAAGATTCCTACTCTCAAGATCTCGCTGATCCAGATCTTCCGTGCCCATCTGTGGCAAAAGATTCACGAATCTGTCGTGATGGACTTGTGTCAAGTCTTTGACCAGGAGCTCGAGTCCCTTGGTATCAGCATGGTTCAGAAAGAGACGATTCATCCTCGTAAATCGTACAAGATGAACAGCTCTTGCGCCGACATTCTTCTCTTCGCCAACCACAAGTGGAATGTTACCAGGCCGTCAATGCTGTTTGACACCAAGGACGTCATTGAGCCGACAAGTACAAACAAATTCTGGGTCGATGTTCAACTTCGCTACGGCGACTACGACTCACACGACATTGAACGTTACACACGTGCGAAGTATCTCGACTACACGACCGACAGCGCGAGTATTTACCCGTCTGCCACCGGCCTAATGATTGGTATTGATCTCGCATACAACCTGTACTCCGCTTATGGCATGTACTTCCCCGGTCTCAAGGTACTTATTCAGCAGGCCATGGCCAAGGTCATGAAGGCCAACCCTGCCCTGTATGTTCTTCGCGAGCGTATTAGAAAGGGTCTGCAGCTCTACGCTTCGGAAAACACACAGGAGTTCCTAAATTCGCAGAACTACTCTGAACTCTTCAGCAACCAGACCCAGCTGTTCATTGACGATACCAACGTCTACCGTGTGACAATTCATAAGACATTTGAAGGCAACCTGACGACAAAACCGATCAACGGAGCCATCTTTATCTTCAACCCTCGCACCGGTCAGCTCTTCCTCAAGATCATTCACACAAGTGTCTGGGCAGGCCAGAAGCGTCTCGGTCAGCTCGCAAAGTGGAAGACTGCCGAAGAAGTTGCAGCCCTGATCCGCTCCCTGCCCGTGGAGGAACAACCGAAGCAGCTGATTGTCACCCGCAAGGGCCTCCTTGACCCTCTTGAGGTTCATCTCCTCGACTTCCCCAACATCTCCATTCGCGCCTCCGAGCTGCAACTTCCGTTCCAGGCTGCGATGAAGGTTGAGAAGCTGGGTGACATGATTCTTCGCGCTACCGAGCCGCAGATGGTTTTGTTCAATCTTTATGACGAGTGGCTCAAGTCTCTTTCTTCATACACCGCATTCTCGCGTCTGATTCTCATTCTTCGAGCTCTGCACGTCAATCCCGACAAGACCAAGCTCATCCTTCGACCCGACAAGACTGTCATCACACAGGACCACCATATTTGGCCCACACTGTCGGACGAAGACTGGGTCAAGGTCGAAGTGCAGCTCCGCGATCTCATCCTGAATGACTACGGAAAGAAGAACAATGTCAACGTGTCGAGTCTGACCAGCAGCGAAGTTCGCGACATTATTCTCGGCATGGAGATCTCGGCGCCCTCGATGCAGAGGCAGCAGGCTGCGGAGATTGAGAAGCAGCAGCAGGAACAGCAGCAACTGACCGCTGTAACGACCAAGACACAGAACGTGCACGGCGAGGAGCTCGTCGTGACCACGACGTCTCAGTTCGAGCAGCAGACTTTCGCCTCCAAGACGGAATGGAGAACTCGCGCGATTGCCACGTCCAACCTACGTACCAAGTCGAACAATATCTACGTCTCCTCCGTGGACAATGACTCGGACGATATTACCTACGTCATGCCCAACAACATTCTCAAGCGATTCATCACCATTGCCGATCTTCGCGTTCAGGTCGCCGGTTATCTTTACGGAACATCTGTTCCCGACAACGATCAAGTCAAGGAGATCAAGTGCATCGTCATGATCCCCCAGATCGGCGGTCTCCGCAACGTGCAGCTCCCCCAGCAGCTGCCGCAGCACGAGTACCTCGAGAACATGGAGCCGCTCGGCGTCATCCACACCATGTCCGGCTCGGAGCTGCCGTACATGTCGGCCATGGATGTCACCGAGCACGCCAAACTGCTCGACACGCATTCGACCTGGGACAAGAACGACACCGTCACTGTTGCTGTCGCCTTCACGCCCGGCTCGGTCTCGCTCTCGGCCTGGGGTCTCACGCCGCAGGGCTACAAGTGGGGCGCCGAGAATAAGGACCTCGGAAGCGACCAGCCGCAGGGCTTCACAACGAGCATGGGCACTAAGCGCAAGCTGCTCCTCAGTCCCCGTTTCCGCGGCTTCTTCCTCGTGCCGGAGACGGGCAAGTGGAACTACAGCTTCATGGGCAGCGCCTTTGCGGGCATGGAAAAGAAGCCCGTGCACGTCAAGCTCGACACGCCGCTGCCGTTCTACAGCGACCAGCACCGTCCCATCCACTTCCACAGCTTCGCCGAGCTGGAGGACATCTGGGTGGACCGACAGGACAACTTTGCGTAAAGCACGCAACGAGAGCCAAGCACATCACATGCAGAGAGAGACATGCAGAAGGAGGAGAGCGAAGGAGACAGGGAGGCGTGGTGGAATCGCAAAATTGTGAATGTGGTTGAGGCTTGGAGCTTGGAACACGGTAGGCTCGAACGGGGGATTTTCCGGGCTTTGTATGATGTGCCCACCGGCACCTAGGGATGCCGGGCGAGGGTTCGGCGAGGCGGTCAGAGAGGAAGATACGCTGGAGAGAGGAGGGCCGTCTTTGGAATCTGGTGATTTGCGGTGATTGGCGTTTTGCGATGGACCTCGGACCGCGATGTACGTGTACAAGTAATGGCAAATGTAACTACCAAGAATGATGCATTCGGTTTTGACTACATGTGTGATCAACTCTGGGTATGTTCCGTGTGGAACCCAAACTTCGGTACGCTCGACCGAAAAGAAACATTTGTCATAATCGGAAGATCAAGGAGAGACGGCCTCGGGAGAAAGACACGGCAGGATCGCCGTGATCTCCTGAGGAGTCTCCATCGCCTTAAACCTTCCCAGGGGGGGTAGGTAGGCCGAGACGGGGGTAAGGTAACAGGGCCGATCGAATGGCTGGCTTACGAGAAATCGAAGGCGCGCCAGGGTCAGAATCCGGGCATACCAGCCCGCGCGGCTATGTTCGATGCGTTCGCCGTCTAGGTTTTTTTTAATTTGCTTCGTAGAGTTACGGTGATCTCGGCGTCTTTGGTGTCGGCGAATTCTTTTTTTGGTTGCGGTTTGATACCCGATGTGACGTCTGTCTTGGGCCGGAATCCCTGATACTGTTGCACAACCCCAGAACGAAAGGAGACCCCATGCCTAGCTTATGTGTCCTTTGTTCTTTCATCAAGGCGCGTGCCGAGTATACAAACTCTGTCCCAGATGCACGATGTCTGCCTGGAAGGTGCCAAGCTATCGAAGTCTATCTCGATACAAACGTGCCGAGTATTGAACCCCTGCAATATCGGCCAGCACCAGGCATTACCAGTCTCTCGTGACACGATCAGGGTAGCATAGAGCTGCTCAAGCTATGGCCAGCATCGGCACCAAGCGGCATAGTCTCCAGCGAAACGGCGATGAGGTAAGGATGTACAATCTAAAACGGATGCAGAGGTGAAAACAAAGGCGGTTGTTCTTAGCCTTTGGCCTTAGTAAGTGCTGATACAGCTCGCCGTGTTTAACGCAGGGGCGTATCAAAATTGGGGCCGTTCATGCGTTGATGCGTCCAGGTCTTCGTCTTGGGCCCGTGCTACAGATGCCACATCTCGGCAGCCGATCTCGGCAGCTGTGCCCTATTTTCGACGGGGAAGTATGGCTGGGGAAGTGTCGTTCCCGCGCGCCGGAGAATTTTCGTCTTCTTTTTGCTCCTTCATTTTTTTCTTACCTCTCAAGGAAACAGTGCGTGGTGCAAGGGTGTTGCATTTCGTGCTGTTGATGTTATGAAGGGGCCTGCCATGAGCTGCCAACAAAGACGCGCCTCGTAGCTGAAACCCCTGGCGAGCGCCACGCCATGCAAGTAATGGAGAAGGATCAAGAACATGGGCTCATGTCGATGACAGGAGGGATGTCACCGCGGGAGGACAATTGATGGACGGCTCAGCCTGTTCTCTGGGAAATAGTGGAGATGACTAGAGCTGCAGGTACGCGCAAGGCGCAGCTTAAAATAACCGTTGACCTTGTCGCATAGACGATCCGAAATGATGATGTCCGGGGCTATCGAACGCCGCATCGAGCATGCAGCTTGGGCTGGGTGACAGGAGGGCTTCAGAGCCTGAAGGGTCCGAGACACTATTGAATTGAATTTTGGAGGGTGGGGGAGCGCGGAATTGGCTGCCTCATCAGAGGTCGCCGATTGTGAACAGCTTCGCTCAGGCCGAGCTATTGCAGCGACGAGGTTGGTCATGGGAGTGTACTCGGGGGCGGCGTCATGATGACGGCGGCGGGAGAGGTTGGCGGTGCCTCACTCATACATGACCAAGCATGGCAGGATCCACCTGCTGCTTGGAAGGTGTTCGTTTTGCGTCGCAATGCACACACAAAGTTGGTTAGGGAGATCAAACACCATAGTGGGAAGCCTCCGAAGAGCCCTGGCGAGGGGCAGAGGCGGGGCGGCACAGAGTGGCTTGGAAGCAGACAGAACAGACACTGGTTTCCGCCAGGGTCACGAGGTGCCCTTTCCACCATCCCTCATGCCGAGAGCCTTGGGCGCGACGAGAAGAGGACGATGTCAGCAGTCCCTGAGGTGACCAGGCGACAGGGCCGTTGATCTTCGTAGCCGGCGTCCTGAATCGTGGTGTCTGACCTCGCTTGTCGTTCAATGCCACAAGGCGGGAAACTAGACAGCCGCCTGCGTGGGGGGGACTCGACCCCAGTGGGGTTGACAAACGCCTTAGCGGACATCTGTCGGATCCCCGGTCGTCCCAGTCCACCATGGCGGTTCCAGAAAGCAAGCCCGCTCTTGAACACATGTGGGAACTCGTTGGCCCCGGGAGACCTTCGAGCAACGAGTGGTCTAGCTACTGGTAATGGACGACGTCGGCCTCGGAACCTCGCCGCTGAACACTGCGTGTTTTCCTGGCGTGGGTGGAGTAAGCCTCCTCGAGCTTGTGGCTCTCGTGCTTGTGGTCCTCGAGCTTGTGGTCCTCGAGCTTGTGGCGTTTATGGCCAAGCCGGGAGTGGTCCTGTTGTCAAAGGTGCAGACCGAGCGCAAGAGGGAGTTCCAAGCTCAAGGGCCCTGGCCAGAGCTGGTCCAGGGAGAGCCCTTTTCTGGTGAGATGGGGTGGAGCGAGCAGCATGCAGGTGCTCTGAGACAATAGGCAAGGAAACCCAAGCCTCGCTGGGTTCGCCCTGCTGCGTACGCAAAGGCTGATGGATGGGATCTGGGACAGCTGGGTGCTCTGTGCTCTGTGCTGCTCTGTGCTCTCAACGGCGCGCGCTGGTCGGATCTGTTCGGCTGGTGAGCTCTGACATTGGGTCCTCGGGCCGCAGGACGGTTTGCAAACTATTGGCAACACCAGCTTCGCCATTGGACGGGGGCTAAAAGTGAACGAGACGGAGCAGTTGGCAGGTTCTTCGGGCCCACTTGCTTGTCAGGCACATGGCACAACAAGGGGCAGGAGATACCACGACTCCTCCCTCACCCTCACCAGTCACGAGAGAGGGGTGCACTGTATCGTCCGTCAGAGTCATACATGGTACCAGAATAGGTTCTCAGGCAATACCTGAGCACAGTTCTGGGAGGAGAGGGGATATGCGTGCCTCGAGGTAGGTGCGCCTCATGCCACGAGCAGTTGCCGCGTCCAAGTTACCATGCGCAAGCCACCTCCAATCTCCTCCTGCACAGGTACCTCGAGCACCTCTACAGATGCCTACCTCGATATCGAACTCCTGCGTCTGCCTTCTGCCTTCTGCCTTCTGCCTTCTGCCTTCTGCCTTCTGCACACCTACTTGTACCTTACCTAACGCACCTAGACAAAGCAGGCAGGTGCTTGGGGAGGCACCTTCGCAGCGACAACACATTGCTTCCCTGTCCGTCATCAAAAGCAGAGCAGGAACACGATGCGCGGCACACGTTCTCCCAAGATTCGCAATCTCTCAACTGCATCTCATCCGTCTCACTCTCGGCCATTTCAACCTCGTCGTCCAACCGCATGCCCCTGATGGCATCGCGTGCCTCGCCTGCCCCCCCTCGCGACGGCAATCGCCGACCAGCTCAATGCCAATGCGTCAGCCGTTGCCCGTCGCGGACGGCGATCAGACGCTAGAACGACCCTTCTACCTTCTAGAAGTCTCCCCAGCCTGGGCCAAGGGGTCGCATAACGTAGCAATTAATTGCCAGGTCCAGGCTGCATACCCATTTCGACCATGTGTCATGCGCATCCTGGTATCCCGGTCCCCAATTCCGACCATCTGTCTGTCTCTGCCTCGTCTCTGACGCCGCTGAAGAAACGCGGGATTGATACACGTCGGTTGGCAAACGAACCGCGCGACCCTCGAATCTGAAGACGCCGCCGCCGCCGCCGCCGTCAGGGCGCATCGCGTCGAGGCGCATCGCATCGACCCCTTGATGGCCAGCGCGCGACAGCCGTGTGTCGTCTGATCATCGCGTCAGCAAAGCCCGACTCCGCGAAAGACAACAGAATTAACGAGGGAACACGTACCACGACCTGCATGCCGGTCCACGGCTGTCAAAACGTCCCGCCACTATAGCCCACGTTTCTTCCCCGCAAGTCGCCCAATCACTCGTCCTCACTTGTCGTTGCATTGCATTGCCGAATCGCTGGCATACATGGTACATCCTGCAGCACTTTGCCTCGGGGACCTCTCCCCTTTCACATTCCATTCTACCACGTCGCGTTACATGCGTTCCCTACCGCCTAACGTACCGTCAACCCAAACGTCGTCTTGCTGCCGCCGCGGTAAAAGCTCGAAGCTGCTTCCCATCCACCCCCCCCCCCCCTCCCCTGATTCTCTGCTCTGTGTGTCATCCAGGGTCTCAATACCCCGTGTCTGCTCGCGCTTCCATCGATCCGGTCACGGATGCAGCTCACGTCTGAGCGCAACGCCCGAATCGTCACGCTCAGCCCGGACAAGGACCTGGCAACGAACAGGCAAGATGGATGTGCCTTCTCTTGCCGCTCAATATTCTCTTTGGACCCCCCGGTGTCCCTTCTTCGGCAATCTCGACACTAGCCTGCTCGCCCTATCGCGTGGCGCAACTGCCTCTTCCCACGGTTCTGTTATACCCTCCCCAGCTCGAATATAGCCCCTCCACCACGACAGGTGCACACCAAGTTTTTGCTTCGGGGTTTCTTTCCCAAGCCTTGGAATGTACCTACACGCTGGCCACAGAGCCGGCCCTTGGCCCTTCATGTGCTGCCAGCGGAATGCGAGAGGCCAGTCGCAGCACTCTGGAGCTTCCCCTCCCTTCCCCCAGTTGCGTGAAGCTGTTCCCTCCCGTTACCTTCAGCTCCCACCTCCTCCCACTGCCTGTGCATTGTAAGGCTCGTTTCATCTCTTGCCAGTCCAGCAACAGCCCCCCTCCCCCTACAATCGAATGTCTGGTCCACGTACGTGCCAGGATGCGTCTGCTCGACCAAGGCTTGTTCAAAGACGACTTGCCCACCCCACCCCTTCCTTTCAGTCGGCTCCCCTTCCACCATCTTGCGTTGCGTCCAGGGTCTTGCGCCGCTGTGTCTCCAGCAATCGCCAAATTGTCCGGTCTTTCGATGCCCCTCCCCCCTCCCCCCCCTTGCCGCGCCATGCTCACTCGCCGTACACCCCTCCCTCCACCTTTGCACCTTGGCCATCTGACAGGGGTACGCCTGTTTCCACATTTGGAGCGCCGTCCATGGCATAAGATCCCCAAATTATGCCACCGTCATCGCTCGACAAGGTTGCCCAGCACCGCAAGACAACCTGCTCCGGACAGACCGCGTCTCGCACGCGCGAAAGCTCTCCTGGTCTCCAATCGAGCTTCGTCCCCCCCCGGACAGGGAAGCGCAGGGCACGACAAGGCAGGGCTTGACAAGGGAACCTGTGGCGGCTATCCTTCCACTCCACACATGCCTGCCCTTGGAGACATTGGACGATATAACACACTGGCCGGGCCCGCGACTAAGTGTTCCGTCCTCTGGTCTTCCGTCACTGAGCACTACGTCGGGAGCTAAGTTTCTATAACGAGGATATAAGGACCCTCCAGATTCGATAGCTGCCGTGGCAAGCTACTTTTCGTTGAGGATAGCATGGCTTACTCGGTCTTCACGCCGTCTTATTAATACTTCCTCACCCCAGCAAATACCATTCGCCAACATCCATCTGTCTGCTAGTTCCTGCCAACGGCTCCCCCACCAACTTTTTCTTACCCAAAACGCCAGACCAGACACCCTACCGCAGATACCCAACCCACGCCTACTCCTGCCACTTCACGATCAAATTCGACAGCCTTTTAGAATTCCGCTATTTCAAAGACGAATGGTAGCTACGCTCACACCATCGGGCCGAACGCAAAAGCCTTTCGCCGTCCTATCATCACGGCCTCGGCCGCCCCGGCTGGCCGTACGCCTACGCAACGTCTCACCAACAGGAACAGCAGCAAACCCCCAACGCCCGTCCAACGCAGCCCGAGAGGGCCTCCGCTCAGCCAATTCTTTCTCTTCAGGTTCCGGCGACCGTCCAGAGCGGTTCGCTCTGGCGGGACCCATGCATTGGAGGCACGCTGGCGGGCCATTACCGGGTAGGGGACTACAATGTCGATTACTCGGCACAAGACTCGCATCAAGTCGAGCAGAGTCACCAGCAACACAACTTTGATCCCTCCCCCCATCAGCACCCACGAACCTCTCTCCATCATGGCGGTGGTACATCCCATGGCCTGCCCGAGCCGCAGCAGGGCCACCACCAACATCACCACCACCACCACACCGCCATGGCCCAGCACCATAGCCACAACCCTCACCAGGTGCTGATGGATCCATCGCACATGGGGCACCCGCGACACATGGGCTCTTCGCATTTTGCTGCTCCAGGCTCGGTTGTTGCACCGCTCTATCCTGCCATGGCAACGCCGCCCCAGGTCCACGGCCAACATCCCTCCATCAAGCGACCTCGACCCGATGACCTCGACCTGTCCGTGGCGCCGATCGGAGACCTGGACCACAGTGAACTGGACAGCATGCAAACACCTTTAGGCGCAACCTATGCCGAAGCTTCTGGTTCCATGCAGCCGCCGATGCATCATCATCACAGGATGCCAGACTCGGGCCCCCCTTCCAAGCTGATGAGGAGGGATGGAGAATCGCTGGGCGGCGGAGGGGCTCCCAGTGTAGTGGGACAGGCCGGGATGCCTGCACCAGCGATGAGGCCGCGAGGGCCGAAGCTCAAATTTACCCCAGAAGACGATCAGCTTCTGATTGAGCTGAAAGAGAACAAAAGCCTTACATGGAAACAAATCGCCGACTTTTTCCCCGGTCGCTCCTCAGGCACCCTACAAGTCCGATACTGCACCAAGCTCAAGGCGAAAACCACGCAGTGGACTGACGAAACGGTATGTTGCCCCTCGATCTGACCAGAGCCAACCCACCCTGCTCGTTCGGCAGATGGCTGATAGATACCCATAGGACCAGAAACTACAATCAGCCCTGCAAGACTACGAAAGCGAGAAGTGGCGCATTGTTGCCAACAAGGTCGGGACTGGCTTCACGCCAGCCGCGTGCCGAGAGCGCGCACAAGAACTTCTTGAAGGTCCTTTATAGCAATCAGTGTCCCCTCCCGGAGCTCACGCACCTGAGGTTGGGGACACCACCTACACGCAGCATCTCCAGTGATGAAGAGGAGTATGCCGTCAGCGACAATCTTTATTACGCAGCTTGACCTGGCAAGGACCAGGAAGATCTAGGTCTTTCCTGCGCCTGTTTCGCCACCTACCATTTCCACCAACCGTACACGGCGAAGACGAGTGATATTCCTTGTCTCGCAGCCTTTTAGCCAAAACACGACTCCCTTCGAATATCGAGTTTTAATCTCCGACGATACCCAACCTTCACAGCTTCTTTCCTTTGTCCCAGTCATCACCCCATCTCCATGAAACCACGACATAGACAAGGGCTAGCAACCAGTACCCTCTGACGACCGCTGTATTTTATTTCGCTTTCGCCATTTCATCTCGCCATTATCTCTCACAACGCGCAACCGACCACGTGCTCTCTCCCTCCGACAGCACCATTTGTGTCAAGGCCCTGGTCACACGCAAGGGTTCTAGGGGAAAGCCCACTACGCTTCCGCTCACGCACAGCACACACACCCAAATTTCCTTTCCTGTCTTTACACGCCTTGTAATATTAGAGGACGTCAGCGCGGCTCGGAGTTCACAGCCTGGGGATCGGATCCGGCCAGTAGCCGCGAGAACGGGCTGTGGCATGATGCTGGCCTGGTGGGCGCATCCACGAGATCACTCTTGTCTTGAAAACGGGAAACGACTCGCTCGCATACACAGAGGGAAAAGGCATTGTCACAGACGCATATATGATTCTTTTGTCTATTTTTCCTCGCCGCATTGTTGATTCGATGAATTCCTTTTCCTCCATGTCCCTTCATCGATGTAGTACTATCAAGTCGCATACTTCTGTCTGTTCGGCCATGCATTCTCACCGCTCGAGCTATGATGGAATAAGGTAGCCCAACAAAGTCGGTGCCTGTAGTTTCATTTGTCAGCGCTGCATGCACCTTCGCACACCGAGCAGAACGGCGGGATCCGAAAACAGGACCAACTCCCCGGTTTCTGATAGAATTTGGCAAGTAATGGGTCCTGAGAACACCCCCTGGAAGTCCTGGAAATGGAACGCATCTGGGGGGGGGGGAGGCTGCCGCTGCTTTGAGAGGGGGTGAGCTTTGGCTCTGTTCATTCGCCCTGCCGACATCCGCAGATCACCACAATCTCGGAGAGATGACGGTTAGCATAAGACAGTGAGGAACAACCTTCTTTCCTTGGTTGAGGCGACCCAGCCGCCTTGTATGCTATATGGCAAGTGGGTTCTGATATAACCCTCTTTCCCCCGTTCCCAGTATGCCGCCCCCCGCCAGCGTACCATTTCATGTTCGCGCGACCGTCGACCGACCAAACAGGAAGCTCGAGCCTCCACAGCGCATGCAACCCAAACGAAACGGGCGCGCCACTTTGCTGGAAATGGTGAAGCTTCGCCTGACCGGTGGCGATGAGGGGACGAAGGGCGAGGATCACCGGAAGAGAAGCCTGGAGGACAGGGCAAACACGAGAAAAGAAGGGCATTTGTGCCCTGGTTTGGGAATGCACCGTATTCCATGAATATCTGCGATGTAAGGTTATGACGGTACCCTGGTCTTGTCTGGTTCCTTGCAAGGCTCAAGTGTGCCATTGCCTGTGGAGGCTCTGTGAACCAACCCCTCCCTCTCTCCTCCCCCCCTTCCTTGCGGGGGCCCCTTCTTAGTTGGTATGTACCTTCGCATAGAAATACCCGACAAGACCCTACACGGTAGCTGCCTGGGTCTTGGGAGACGCATATGCATGGAGCAGCCGAGAGACATGCGCGGCGTTGCATGCATGCATGCCAACCAAATCACCGTGGCCTCTGCTTTGATTTGGTCCATGGAACGGTCATGCGCTGACAGAAACGTGAGCCGTTGCCTGCCGCTGTTGGCCTGATGGCTGCTGACAGCATGATGATGACCTTGGCGGAGGAGGAGGAGGGGCTTGAAACCAAAACTGGGGCAGCACACCAGAGAAGTACCAGGCGGCTGGAGGGGGCGTGTTGCAGAGGATTAAGGGGAAGAAGGGCGATCGAACGGGTGAACTGCCGGGGCTGTCGGGGATTTGCGGTGCCGGGGCATGGCTGGTCCTGGCTGGTTTGATCGCCTGGACCGGGGATGTAGGTGGGCAACCGTAAGGGGTTGGACCCCTTGAAGGGCTTATAGGGCATCATGCGATAGGTTCGTGATTGAGATGTTCTTGAAACGACCTCCTCTTACCTGGTATAAGCGATCGTCTCCTTCAAGAACGAGTTTGAGTATGCTGCTCGTGTTGAGTGCCAGGGCTGGATTTTGATGTCTGACAACTTTGCGCTTGGCATCGTACGCACTCGCGATGCTCGATCGGTCTCTGCATGAATTGAGTGAATGAGGCGAGACGTCCGAGCCTTTTGCTCTTGATTTATCTATATATATGTGTGTGTGTGTGTGTGTGTGTTTTGGCTTCATGGCTGGGACCATAGTCTCGCTGCTTCATGCTCGTCTAATTTCATGCAGCGTGGCCCTGGGTGTTTCTTATGCACTTCACTCTCGCATGTTCTCGTGTCACCGTGGAAACAGTAAGCGAGGTGGCGGTGACGAAATCTCTTGCCATCAGAGCGAAGAATACATTGTCCCTCCACTATGCCGGCGACTCGCGAGCATCATTAAATGCAAGTCCTTATGATTGTCAGGGGCCGAACTTGCCATGCGTATGGGGTGTGGCGGGAGGATCGCAAGGGGCAACCCTTAGAATACCTGTTAACGCAGAATCGCAACGCGGGCGGAAGATCAGATCAAGATTGCATCGCCAGAACTCTGCGGTGTTGCCGTCGACTGAATCGTGGCGTAAAACACATCTCGGCGTCGTAGCATGGCAGCAAAGGCGAGATGGGGGTTTAGTTTAGTTGTCTCGGGGAGGGTGACGATGGGCAACCCCATCTCTGACAAACAGACCTGCGTTGTCGAGCTCTCCGCAGATGACCCGCGTACAAACGCATGGAAAAATTAGACCGGCAAAGGCCTCGAGCCGCGTCGAGACTGTAGAGAGGTTCCCCCTTGCCTTCTCAGGCCGTATTGCCCAATAAAGACGCAGGCACTTGCTTGTACTGTCTGTCTTTCTCATCCGACCCCCCCCCCCCCCGGAAACGAACCAAGGACGTGCCAGGCGTGTTGGCTAGAGCGAGGCCCCCCTCCCGACTGACGTGACAGACTGGCATCCTATTAATGCAAACGCTAAATCGTGACAACTGGCAGCTAGCTGGTGATGTGCCAGAATCCCCCTCCTGCGCGCACTAGTCGCTCGAGTCGCTGTCATCTGCAATAGGCGCAGGTGCTATGGGGGTATATGGTCTGCAATATTGGGCGATATGAGAGCCATGCTAAGAGGGGTAGGTACATCGGAAAAGCTCCAAGATGGTATCCACAAAGTGGAAGCTAGGCGTCCGAATAGAAACGAAGATGTTTATCCAAAGGGAGACAAGGGGGCTCTCCAGAGGGGGTGGCGTGTACCGAAAGGCGTGGGGAGCCGGATCGTGATGGCGTGGGTATACTCTAGCTCGCTAGCTGGTGACCTGGCGGAGATGAACAAATCGTGTTATCAAAGGTGACTTTGAGGCGGCTTCCGATATAGCACGACGGACAGGGGCGTGGTTAGATGGGCGACGCGGTACAGTTGGTGGCTTTGAACGGATGATGAACGCGGGAGAGGCATTTCTGATGGCGCCAGCGAACCTGCCCCGCAGAGAAGCAAGATTGCGTCGCAGCCGAATGCCTGCTAGTATCTCATATTCGTGACCAGAACTCGTTCGAGTTCGGAATCTCGGGGATGGGAGCCAGGCTGGGCTGGCATCCCTTTGGTGTTGGGTATGTCAGACTGTGCAGTAGGCAGGGTGTCACCAGCCTTAATCTACTAGACAGGTACCACGCGGCGCCAGGCATAGGCTGTGAGGAACATGGGCGTAGAAAGGCACTCTAGGCCTCTGGATAAGCTGTCAAGAAGCAGCTCCCTTTACCTCCGGATAAGCATACACATAATGAAGGAGCTGGCATTTGTTCTCCATCTACCATGCCTACTGCGATCCGTTTCTAGTAGTTGGAGTGCACAGATATCTTGGGAAGTCTCCTGGCATCTTTGGTTCTCCGACACTCAAAAAGTGTCCTTGCTGTCGGGGAGGTCCCCATGGTGATGCTCATCTTGTGGAGACACAGACGGAGCGGGAGTGACGCTGGCCCCTCCGTATTTAGACAGATCTTAGCTGACCTTTTATGACAGTCCGGGATGCAAGTGCCGATGAATGGGGTGCGACCTGTCGATTCTCCTTTGTCTACATCCTGGATAAAGTCTCCGTCCTATACTTGACCGCTAAGGACTGGAAAGTGACTCTCGATCGACGCTTCGTCCACGTTGACACCGTTCTCGACTAGCTCTATGAGCAGTTCGTGGTTCGATGTGTCCAAGCCTGGATCAAGAAAAGCAGCCATGTCAACGAGCCAACCGTTGAAATCCTGGATCTCCGTCTGGCGGCCGGCACGGACGTCCTGCAACATGGAGCTAGTGTTGTCACGAACCTTGTGGCCCACAACCAGCAGCATCCGTTTAAGTTGTGTTTGGCTGAAGCGCTCAAAAAGCATGTGACGATCAATGGCCGATGCTGTATTTCGCGCATCATTCAAGATAGTATCGGTGCTAGGATGTTGGACCACCTGTTGTAAGACGGCGCTTGCCTCGGCTAGTAGAACGTCGATAAGTCGCATCAGCGGACCGTCCGGTTTTTCGAAGAGATAGCCATTCTTGCAACGCAAAAGAGCGGTCAGAGGATTGATGATGCAGTTGACAACGAGTTTCTCGAGCTGCAGAGTCCATAGGTCTGCGCGCAACACCTGTTGACCGTGGAGGAAGGGCGCTCGCGCCAGCTGCTCCGCGAGATATGTCGACGATGCGCCACCGTGCGGACCGGACAGAACGGAACCGATCTTGAGGTCTGCCACCGAG